GGTGCTTTTGGAAGTTCACTGTTTTTCACTTGAAAGCTTAAGACATGAAAAACTGTAGGGATCCTGCTGCTGCCCTGAGGTGACCCTTTCAAAGAAAACCAGAAATTATGACAATGAAGTAAAAACATCTGATAGTTATCATTGCATTGCCAACTTACCAAGCATGAATATCTCAAATTATTGTAACTATTAAATGTTCATACAGAATTAACACCTCTGCCCTGTGGTTAGTGACTGTAGTTTTAGGTGAAATACAACAGTATTTTGCAAGATGGATGATTCGGCTGTTTATAGATTCCAAACTTTATTTAAATCCCATTAACTTCAGATATCTAATATCTAAGTAGAGACATAAGACAAACAAAATACGAATGTCTGAACAGTTATCCAAGAAACCGTTTACTTGATGGTTCAATTGTAAATGTACGATGAAATGTTACTGAGCTGTAAATCAGGAAAGGCCCAAAAGTTCATCCTTTTTCTTAAAGTTAGCTAATTATTTTGCAAAGTGATTGTCTCTTAACTGCCCTCTGAAATAGCTCAACAAACCATTCATTTCTATCATGCTAAAAAATCCAACCAAAAGAATGAAACTGGACAGGTCATCCAACATCTTAGGTACCAAAAAGTACAATGGCAACCACTGTTTGATTGACCCTGGCAAGTCCTCCTTAATGTCTGGGCTTTGTGACAAAATTGGGAGAGCTGCCCCCCATTCTCCTGGAATCATACTGTGCTGTTTCTATCCCTGATTGTGTTCTATCCCATCAATGGTACAGAATTGCCAGAGTTGACACAGTGGTGTACACTCTCGGAGTCCTCAATAATACTTCTGGAGCCCAGAAACACTCAAGGCATCAGCTCAAAACTGAGAAGAACACCTCCACCTTTATTACAACTTGCCTACCCAGAGACAGATACAGCCCCTAACAAGCTCTTCCAGTACAATTACAACACTGGCATCTACCCAAAAATGTGGAAATTGTCCAGGTATGTCCTGTACGTAAAAGCAGGACAAATCCAACCCAGCCAGTTACCACCCCATTAGTCTACACTCGATCATCAGCAAAGTGATGGAAGGTGTCATCAACGGTGCTATCAAGCAGCACCTGCTCACTGACAACCAGTTTGAATTCCACCAGAGCTGCTCAGCTCCTGATCTCATTACAGCCTGGGTTCAAACAAGGACAAAAGAGCTGAATTCTAGAGGTGATGTGAGAGTGACAGCCCTTGAGATCAAGGCCACATTCAACCAAGTATGGCGTCAAGGAGCCCTAGGAAAACAGGATTCAGTGGTGGTCGGGGGTAAACTCTCCACTGGTTGGAATCATTCCTGGCACATAGGAAGATGGTTGTAGTTGTGTGACAATTGCTTCAACCTCCAGAACAACTGTGCCAGAGTTCTCAGGTTAGTGTCCTAGACTCCATCATCATCTTCAGCTGCTTCATCAATGACTTTCCCTTCATCATAAGATATGAAGTGGGAATGTTCTTTGATGAGTGTGCAATGTTCAGCACCATGCACAACTCCTCAGCTACTGAAGCAGTCCAAGTTCAAATGCAATAAGATTTAGGCAATATCCAGGCTTGGGTTGACAAGTGGCAAGTGACATTCACACCACACAAATGCTAGGCAATGACCATCTGCAATGAAAGACCATCTAATCACCAACACCTTGACATTCAGTGGTGCTACCATCACTTAATTCCCCCACTATCAACATCCTGGGGGTTACCATTGACCATAAACTCAACTGGACTCCCCACAAACACAGTAATTACAAGAGTGGATCATAGGCTAGAAATACTGTGATGAATAACTCACCTCCTGACTTCCTAAGGCCTGTCCACCATCTACAAGGCACAAGTCAGGTGTGTGATAAAATACTCCCCAATTGCCTGAATGGTGCAGCCCCTAGAATGTTACCTGGGTCTTTGGGTTAATAATCTAGCATAAATACCAGTAGGCCATCGCCTCCCCTGTAAATATTTACCACTAACGGGATGTTGGCATAATGATCACATTTGTGACTCCTCAGATACTGGAGCAGTCTGGTTCCATATGCATCTAGACCTGTGTTATGTCTAGGCTTGGGACAATGTGTAGCATAAATGTTATTTCCCACATAAAGGCCATCTTGAGCATGTGAGAATCTAACCATCACTTATGTTCAATGCCATAACCACCACTGCTCTATAATCAATATCCTGGCAGATTACTATTAAGCAGAAACTGAACTGGAACAGCTGTCTAAATATTGTAGCTACAAGAAAAGTCAGGCACTTGGAATTCTGGAGCAAGTAACTCACTTCCTTTTCCCTAATGACTGTCCACTGTATAAAAGGCACAAGTCAGGACTCTAATGGATTATTCACCACTTGCCTGGCTGAGTGAACAGCAACACCGCTAAAGCTTTACACCATCCAGGGCAAAGGAGTTCACTTGATTGTGGTCATCCACCACCTTCAAAAATTTACTGTCTTGACTGTCGATGGAGAGTGGCAACTGTGTGTTACCATCTAAAAGATGCACTGCATTAACTTACCAAGGTTGCTTCAACAGCATCTGCCAAGCCACAACCTCTACCACCTAGAAGGACAAGGGCAGCAAATATATGGAAACACCACCACCACTTTCAAGTTCCCTTCTAAATATGCACTGTCTTGACTTGGCACTGTTTGCTCCATTCATTCACTGTTGGCTGAAAATCCAGCTACTCTCTTCATAACAATACTGAGAGTTTCCGTAAATCCAAGGAAGGCTGTTGTTTTAAAACGTCAGCTCATCACCTCTGCAAGGCAATTAGGAATGGGTAATAAAAGCTGATTTAACCAATGCCAACAATATCCAACAAGTGCAGGAGAAAAAAAATCTGCTAGTGGCCTCTGGCAATTATGGATACACTGAATTCTGGCCTGGCCATTGATGCACTCATCCCCTGAATGAATAACAAAAGTTGCTGTTATGATTTAAGAGCTGTTAGTGACCCCTGGCCTGAGTACGCACGACCTGCCAACACAAGATAGAGACCCTGGTCATTATGTCCTGATGTACCTCGCTCTATATGGCATGGTTTGGAGAATAATTTTGTGAAATTGTTTGTTTTTTTATCTGGCACCTCCTGGCATGAAGGATCAGTTGAGTTGGTACTCAGGATCTGCATTTTACAGGGAGCTCTACTCCTGTCTGGTTAAACATAACGTGTTGAAAGTACCGGTACAGGTGGATTGCCTTTATGTAAAAATGAAGGTGTTTTACTTCCTTAGTTGGAATTTTTCTGGAACTTTTCATACAAAACCACTTTGCTAAAGAAGCAAACATAGTGCCCTAATGAAAGAAATTGCATAAATGAGGCCGAGCATGGTTCATTTCTTTTTATTCCTCTCTTGTGCCTCACTTAGTTATTCCTTGTCAGAAGAATAGCAAAACACCTCTTCCCTGTCTACATCAGCTCTGAACCAGTGTGGAGTCTTGGAAAGGTTGACTTATCTTGTAATTAATAACCACTATATCTCCCTTTTTCATTGTTAAGCATCTAGTCTGTGCACTTCGCTCAATATGAGCTTCTCTGCAATCACTTCATAAGAAATTGTGTAGATCTAATGCTGACTGCAGGAACTGGATTGATACTTCCCAAATTAGACAAATGTGTATTTGTGTAATCACTTCTCTCGACAAAGATGTTTTAGCTAAAGTTTAAATTTGTACCAAATTGCCATTATTCTGTTCAACTGTGTTGTAAAGTATGTTTGTGAATATCATGAGATCAGTAATGGGATTTTTAAAGTGTGTGGCATTGGCTTGTAACAAGATTTCCCAAGCTTGCAAAATACAAAGTTTTACAAATGGGAAGCCATCAAATCTGCACAATAGGTGTCAGTAAACGTGCTGATTTCACACTCCAGAGTTTGCATTGGTGAGAGACTGCTTAATCTGGAGTATAAACTGGGTGTGAAGGCAAGCAGTGACTCCAAAGTAAATATTGCTAGAGCCCTAATTCTACTTCAGTAAAAGCAATATACTGCAGATGCTGGAAATCTGAAATAGTACTACAAAAACTATGGGTCTGCTAGCATCTTTGAAGCAAGAAACCAAGTTAACATTTCAAGTCCAACAAGACTTCTTCAAAACTGACAGGTAGAAGTGTTAAATTTTATACTGTTGAAAAATGAGGAGGGTAGATTGAAGAAATGTCAAAGATGTCAATGGAGAAAGAAACATAGGAACTGGAGTAGACCATTCAGCTCCTCGAGCCTGTTCTGCCATTCAGTGAGATCAAAGCTGATCTATGACCTAACTCCATATGAATACTTTTGAATACCGCTGGTATTCATTGATGTTTCCACATTCCCTTAGTAACGTTACTTAACAATTTATCTACCTCCGATTCAAAATTAGCAACTGTGATCCAGCATCCACTGCCATTTATGGAAGTGGGTTCCAAACATCTACCACCCTTTATGTGTAGATGTGCTTCCTAACATTTTTCCTGAACAGTCTGGCCGTAATTCTGAGACTATGCCCCTTAGTCCTAGAATCCCAAACCAGTGGAAATAGTTTGTCTACCTGTCTTTTCCTGTTAATATCTGGAAGATTTTGATCAGATCACTCCTTAACCTTCTAAATTCTAGAGTTAAAAGCCTAATTAATATAATTGCTCCTTTTAACTTAATCTCTGAAGTCCAGGTATCATCCTTTAAATCTACATGTACTGCTGTACTGCTTCCAAGGCCAATATATCTTTCCTAAGGTGTGGTGTCCAGATCTTCTCTCAATACTCCAAGTAAAGTCTAACCAGGGTTTTATTTAAAAAGACAAAGAAACAACCTATTGGTCCAGAATAAAGGATGTCAGTGTTTGAAAACAGTTTTTGAATGCAAGATACAGCCTGGCATTTGGTGCAAAACAAACTAGTGCATGCTCGCGTGATTTTAAATAGGACCTTTTTGATCAATGAAATAAGTAAAGCAGAATGTAAAACTAGAATATTTTGGTAACGTTGTCGTCCTGATTTTACCCCATTAAGTATGTAGTATTTACAAAAAATGTTTATAAGTGGCTTGTTTCATGTACAACTGGTACTCTTTGCTTCCACATTATTACACTCTATCTCCCTACAGCCATCACTTCCTGTCCTTTACACACTATCCAGCCAGGCTACCCATGAAGCTGTCCACCTCCTCTGCAGGATGTTAGTTTTTGATCCTGTAAGTATGCAAATTATTTGTTATACTGTAAAATCCTTCATCACGTGAAAACATAGCCAGCCTGTATTCTCTATTACATTACAATACTGATTTTATAATCTGCATCAGAAAAGAAATCTCAACTGATACTGATTTTTTTTGAATAATGGTACTCAGTTACTGAATCTTGAGATTACTGTCTTGAGTCTCCTATGGTCTGACAATTAACTGGATGCAATAATGTTGCGAAGTTCTGCAGTTAGGGGTCTTCTGATCATTTTTCATAGTTCTGCAGATGTCATTTCAGCAATTTCATTTTATAAATGAATCTATTAATAAATATTGCCCCATTTGAAACCGCGTAAGTGTCTTTCATAGAAAATAATAGATTAGACTGGGTCATTTAATAATGTTAGCTAAGCTTTGAATGAAAATTTCTTTTTCAGCTTCTTGTTTTGTTGGAACATCTTCTCTAGGAAGATGTGTAATGTTTCTCAGAATTCTCACGTCAAATTATAACAAGATTTCCAAGTTATTGGATAAAGTTTGTCTTCCCTTATACTGTAGTCAAAAAGAATCTCTGCAAAGGATGCCCTGGCTCATCCATACTTGGATGAAGGACGCCTCCGGTACCACACTTGTATGTGCAAATGCTGTTATACCACCTCTACAGGACGTGTTTACACCAATGATTTTGAGCCCATTACTAATCCAAAATTTGATGACAGCTTTGAAAAAAACCTGACATCTGTACGGCAGGTTAAAGGTCAGTGTAATTTTGAATATTATTTTGTAGTTAGAGCTTTCTGACCTGAAGCCTAAGAAACGGTATGCTAGCTATTTTTAACTAGGAACATGTTGTTATTGATCAGATAGAATATATTATTCTAGATACCCTTACTTTATGACTACTATTGGGCTACTTACATCACTATTAAATTGTCATACAAAGCAGGTCGCAAGTTAAGCGTCTATTCTACTAAATTTTGGTGATAGTTCAGTGGAACACTACAGTCAGTCAAGGTTTCCACCCCAAATTAGTTGACTGTTGACAGAAATGCAGGCTTGTGGTAACATATCAGGCTGGATCTTGACTGCAATGTGCTGAATAATTGCTCAACTTTGGGGCTACCCAGACTTAACTGAAAATAACTGCATGACCAAAGTATTAACTGGTGTAGGAGGGGGCTTTTCCTATCCTTATCTATGTAACTGTATTGTAGCATTCTCATGAGTTATCACCTTCAGCAGAGAACCATTTAATGACAAATATATAGCTGGGGACATTGCAGTGACAAAGTCTGGTGTAAGGAATTACTGCCTTGTCTGTTTTCCATTTCTGAGTAATATCACCTTCCAGTGACTTTAATTCATGAAATAGAAAATCATCTTGATTTAAGTACTGAATGTTCAGGAATTCACAAATTTGCTTGAAGATGTGTTGGTAGATATGCATTCCAATTGGTTTTAAAGAAATCGCTAATGTCATAGTTCTGAAAGCCCAACATTTCCATCCAATTCTGTTGCAAGTGCTTAAAGGCAACTTGTGTAAAGATATATATTCAGTTGTCCTTGCTCATAGCTTTCTGACTTGTGAAAGAAATTAAGGAATGCCTGGCCTCCTTTCAACTCTGCAGCATAATGACACAATTGATATTGAGACTCTCCTAGGTGACCATTGGGGAAAACAAAACTATTGTTTTTGATCACCAACTCCAATTCGGCCCACTTGTCACTAATGCTGTCGTCCTCCTTTCACCAGTTATTAGTCCCTGCACTTCCTTGGCATACAACTCAATTTAGACAGGCTTTCAAAGTACCCATGTTTTTCATCAGCAAAGCCACTTGCTTCCATCTCTGCACCAACAAAACTATTGCCTTGTTTTGTTTTGAGTACCAATTAAAATCTCTCTCCAGTGTCGTCCTAGTGATCCTCCCATTCTGCACCCTCCATAAACTCCAATGTTTCTAAATTTTCACAGCTAATACCCAGTTCTGCATTCAAGTCACTGTTCTCTATTATTCCTATTCTGGACAGTTCTCGGTTCACCTGTACATTAAATATAAAATTATCTGCCTCATCTTTAAGTCACTGCAGCATTGGTACACCCTGTGTCTGCACTTGTCCAACCTTTTTATTTGGCACATGGCAGTTCTGACGAAGGATCACTGGACTTGAAACGTTACCTCTATATTTCTGTCCACAAATGTTGTCAGACTTGCTGAGTTTCTGCAGCAATTTGTTTTCGCTTCAGATCTCCAGCATCCACAGTTCTTTGTTTTATTTAAGCTTTTTATGAACCCCTCAGAGCTCTCGCTCTGGCTTTTTGTGTATGCCTGCTACCTTCATCCCACCAGTGGTGAAGTCATTGACTGTCTGTGTCCAATTCTTTGGCTCCCTCAAAGCTCATACGCTTGTTTGCTGCTGTTTCCCCTTCTAAAGCCTTCTGAGAGGTCATCCATGTAACCAAGCTGTCAGTTTGCACCTCTTAATTTCTTCCTTCTTGACCTGTCCTGTGTTACTTTTATATGCTGGGAGCATGCCCCCAGCCAGTTTACAACATTAAAACATTTAATAAATACGAGTCTGTGTCATGAAATTGCAGGATTACCCTCTTATCATGTTTTGAAGTTCTAGTGTAGATTTGCACTTTTAGCCTTAACATTACAGAGTTCTAAATGTACAGGCAGTTAAATAGATTCAGTTATTCACATCTTCAACTGATTTCACTGCTACAACAGCTTATACAACTGCAAGTTATATTGTTATGACAGTATATTTCATTTTCTGTTCTACAGAACTCATCCATCAATTCATTCTGGAACAGCAGAAAGGAAACAGGGTTCCACTATGCATCAACCCACAGTCTGCTGCATTTAAAAGCTTTATCAGGTATGATCGTGCAGGCATTGTGTCAAAGTATTTCTGGTTTTGCTATTAATAACAGCCTATTGTATTAGTTTGGTACAGGATAATTATTTGCAGGCTGGTATTGAATCCTGTTCAGTTCTGAGAAATACCAATTTTGTTTACTTAAAGATTAAGCGAATTAATCGATAAACTAATGTTCTGTTATTTAAAAACAAAAGCTTGTGTACTGTGTCCTAAAACTGGTATACTTATAAAATTAAATAATTTGTGGATAACAGATTTCTGAAGAAGGGTCCCAACCTGAAATGTCAACTTTCCTGCTCTTCTGATGCTGCCTGGCCTGGTGTGTTCCTCCAGCTCCACAGTGTTATCTCTGAGTCCAGCATCTGCAGTTCTTGCTATTTCTAAATAATTTGTGGAGGATTTTTAAAAATTCCTTTAGAAAGGTTTTCTATAAATCGTGTTTCTAAAATCATTAATGGGATATTGTCCTATCGACTGGGCTAGAATTTATCACTCGTTGCTAGTTGCCTTTGCGAATGTGGTGGTGAGCTGCCTTTTTGAACTGCTGCCATTCATTTGCTGTAGATAGACCCACAATGCCATTGGGGAGGGAGATCCAGGATTTTAACGCGTTGCTCTTCATTCAGTGTCACTGTAATTCTAAGTCAGGACAGTGAATGGTCCAGAGGGGAGCTTGCAGATGGTGGTGTTCCCATGTATCAGTTGCCTTTTGTCCTTCTAGGTGGTAATGGTTGTGGATTTGAACAAAGTTGTCTAAGGAGTATTGCTGAATTTCTGCAGTGCATCTTGTAAATTATGCATGCAGCTGCTACTGAACGTCAGTTGTGGAGGGAGTGAATGCCAGGATGTTGTGCCAGCCAAGCAGGCTGCTTTCTTAAATGCTTTCGAGTTTCTTGGGTGTGGGTGCTGTGTTCATCTAGGCAAGTGGGTTCTATTCCATCACATTGCCAATTTGTGCCTTGTAGATGGTGGACAGGCTTTTGGGAATCAGGAGGTGAATTACTTGCTGCACGAGTCTTAGTCTCTAATTTGCTCTTGTAACCACAGTACTTAGCTAATCCAGTTCAGTTTCTGGTCAGAGTAAATCCCAGAATATTCATAGTGCAGGATTCAGTGATGGTAAGGCCATTGAATGTCAAGGGGTAGTGGTTAGATTCTCTCATGTCAGGACTCTTGTGGTGTAAATCTTACTTGCTGCTTGTCAGCCCAAGCCTGGATATTATCCAGGTCTTGCTACGTTTAGACATAGACTACTTCAGTATCTGAGAAAGTGCAAACAGTGCTAAATATTGTGCTGTCATCAGCTAATATATCCACTTCTGACTTTATGGCAGAGGGAAGGTCATTGATGAAACAGCTGAAGATGATTGGGCCTTGAACACTACCTTGAGGAATTCCTGCAGAGATATCCTGGAGCTGAGATGACAGACTTCTAACAGTCACAACCAGCTTCCTTTGTGCCCTGTATGACTCCAACCAGTAGACCAATTTCCCCCAATTCTTGTTGACACCAGTTTTGCTTAATCTGCTCAATGCTACACTTCACGTATGGTCTTGACATTAAGGGCAGTCACATCATCTCTGCAATTAGCTCTTTTGTCTGCCTATGTTTGAACTAAAGCTGTAATAAGGCCGGGAACTGAGAGGCCCAGGCAAACCCCCAAACTCAGCTTCTATGTGATTACTGAAGTATTGAAGCAAGTGCTGCTTGATAGCATTGTTGATGACACTTACTTCACTTTACTGATGATTTGAGAGTAGATTAATTGGGTGGTAATTGGCCTGGTTGGATTTGTCCTGCTCTTTTTCTCTGGCATGTCCAGTACACAGTTCCACTGTTGGATAGATATCAGTGTTGTAGCTGTACTGGAACAGCTTGGCTAGGGGTGCAATAAGTTCTAGAGCTCAAGCCTGGAATATTTCAGGGTACCTAACCTTTACAGCATCCAGCGCTTTTGTCTGTTTCTTCATATCATGTGGACCGAATGGAATTTGCTGAAGCCTGGCAACTGTGATGCTGGAACCCTGAAGGAGGTTAAGATGAATCATCTACTCAGCACTGGCTGAAGGTGGATGTAAATGCTTCAGCCTTATCTTAAGGACAGTCATATTTGTGGAGCCCCTTCCCCTTGTGATTTGTTTAATTGTCCATCACCATTCATAGTTAGATGGTGGCAGCATTGCAGACCTTAGTTCTCATCCGTCGGTAGTGGAATCGATTAGCTGTACACTGAGTGTTTATCACTAGCTGCTAACGCTGTTTGGCACGCAGCTGGTCCTGTTTAGTAGCTCTGCTAGGTTTGACACCTTGTTTTTAGGTATGCCTGGTGCTACTCCTGACATGCTCTCCTGCCCTCTGCATTAAACCAGGGTTGAACATTTGGCTTAATGGTAATGGTAGACTTGGGGGATATGCTGAGCCATGAGGTACAGATTGTGTTGGAGAATAATTCTGCTGCCACTGATGGCCCACTGCACTTCATGAATGCCCAGTGTTGAATTGCTAGATCTGTTCGAAATCTATCCAATTTAGGACAGTGAGAGCCACACAACATGATGGCAGGTATTTTCAAAGTCTTGCTAACTATAGACAGACTTAAGACAAAGTTGCCAGCAAAATTGGATTCATCTTGTATTGTAAATCTAATATCTAAAGACTTCTGCTGGAAAACCATTTTTTAATTTGTTTCTGTTTTTGAATTATCAAAGCAGTTTGGAAAATAATTTTGTATAGAAGTTGTGAATATCAGCAGTCTTTTTTTTTGCCAGCTCTATTTTTGTTGGGGTGTTTGCAAGGGCAGGTGCAATGAAAGCAAAATAGAAAATGTGTTGAAACATATGCAATAATAACTTTTAAGCCATAAATATTCAAAATGTGAGTTCAGTTCAGTTGATTTGTAGAATTTCACTCCTGGAAGGAGAAAATTGTATTTTTAACTTCCTCCTTCCTGCTTAGATTCCAAATATTGTCTGATGTCTTTGGCAGTGACTATTATTTGTATCTGGGTGTGAATGTTGACAAAACTTTTGATTGTGGAAGGCATCCTACTTGAACTCTGACATCTATCTCACTCTCACCCTGTCCTCACTAATGCACATTTCCAGTAGGATCTGTGAATGGTGACCCAGAGTAGAAACCCTTTCCAACCCTCAAAACTAAGGCTAATTATTTACTTGCCACATACCCATTGCTGAGTTCCGTGCAAAGAGATGCTTCAACACGCATCTAACTCTGCTGTTTAATGTTGAGCATCAAGTAGTTGCACAGCAATTTCCAACCTTGCATGATAGGAAATTGTTAGTAATAGAGTAATACAGCATGGAAACAGGCCCTTTGGCCCAAATGGGTCCATGGTGCCCACTCAGCTAGTTCCACTTGCCTGCATTTTGTCTGTATCCCTCTAAACCCTTCCCATCCATGTACCCATCCAAATATTTTTTAAATGTTGCTATTGTGCCTGCTTCAACCACTTTCTCTGGCAGTCCATTCTATATACGTACCATTCTCTGCATGAAGAAGTTGCTGCTCAGGTCCTTAAGTCTTTCCCGTCTCACCTTAAACCTATGCCCTCTAGTTTTCAATTCCCCATCGCTAAGAAAAAGACTATATGCATTCATCCTATCTATGCCCCTTATGATTTTATACACCTAAATGAGGTCACCCATCATTCTCCTACGTTCCAAGGAATAAAGTCCTCTCCTGGCCAATCTCTCCCTATAACTCGGGCCTACTAGTCCTGGCAACATCCTCGTAAATCTTTTTTGCACACTTTCCAGTGTAGCTATGTCTCTCCTTTAACAGAGTGACCAAAACTATACACATACTCTAAGTGCAGCTTCACCAACGACTTCTACAACTGTAACATAACGTTCCAACACTTATACTCAATGCCTTGGCCAATGAAGGCCAGCATGCTAAATGCCTTCTTCACCCTGTGTACCTGTGATGCCGCTTTCAACGAACTATGCATTTTACTCCTATGTTCCTTTGTTCCACGACACTCCTCAGGACCTTACCATTTACTGTGTAAGTCCTACCTTGGTTTGACTTTCCAAAGTACAACACCTCACACTTATCTGTATTGAATTGCATTTGCCAGTCCTCAGCCCACTTACCTATTTGATCAAGATCCCTCTAAGTTTTGATAACCTTCCTCACTCAGCAATACCTCCTAATTTTGTATCAGCCGCGAACTTACTAATAATGCCATGTACATTCACATCCAGATCATTTACATAAATAACAAAGGTCCCAGAACTGAGCCCTGTGGCACACCATCAGTCACAGACCTCCAGTCAAAGAAACAACCTTCAACTATCACCCTCTGCTTTCTTACCATCAAGCCAATTTTGAATCCAGTTAGTTGGCTTCCCCTGGATCCCATGCAACCTAACCTTCATGACTAGCCTGCCGTGCAGGACATCATCAAAGGCCTAACTAAAGTCCATATAGACAATATCCACTGCCCTACCCTCATCTATCCTGTTGATTACTTCTTCAACAAACTCTAAAAGATTTGTCAGACATGACTTCCTGCAAATCCATGCTGACTATCCCCTAATCAGATCTTGACTATCCCCTAATCAGATCTTGA